TTGGTCCTGGCATGGTATAGCTGTGGGCAGACCACTTGCTTAGGTCTTAAAATAGCAAATAGAAGATTCAAACTCAGTCAGCTTGACTCCAGATTCCACATCCTTAACCACTCTTGTTTTAACTGATGTTACACTTGACAGGGACCTACCTTCCTCTCTTAAATGTGCAAGATGGAGATATCATTTCCTCTGCCCCTATCTATTTAAAATAGAAATAAATTATTAAAGTCAGAGGGAGGGGCAATATGACTTCATTGAAGTAGGACTGGATATCTGTAGGTCTATAGATAGCTCTCTCTTCGTGTCAAAGTCATGATCTTCCTGCCAGTGCAAGAAGCCCACAGTAGCACCTTAGTAGTGTGTGAACAAAGGGATGAGGCTAAGTGGCTGTGCATTAGAGAGAGTTCAGAAGAGTCTGATGTGTAGGTGGTAGCTAAGATCTCTCTGCATTCTGTGATTGAGGAAAGGAACAAGGGTAACTTCAAGGTATATCTACAGCCAGGGTAATTGTGTGACTTTTTTCTGTTATTTTAGCAAGCTAATTAGATGAAGGGGTGAAGATTTTAATACAAATCCCGACTGCACTGTTCCCGGGTTACTTAGCTTGAAAGGGGTTTGAACTTGGTATTTGATATGCTGTTACATATCAGATAAGTGCCACAACTTAGGTGAGACTTTGTGATTATCAAAGATTTCAGTTGAGTGAAATCCAGATTCATTATTTAGTTGTTGACATAGATTCATTACAAGGTGAGTAGTTGGGGTTTTTCTTTTTCTTTTATTTGTTTATTTTTATATTTATTTCTAATGCAATTTTTCTTTCATCACCATTTATTCCCTCTATGCCCTCTTCCACCTCCACCACCCCCCAACCTCCACAATCACTGGAATAATTCATAAAGACAAGTAAAGATTTTAGTGTGAACCATTTATTCCCTCTATGCCCTCTTCCACCTCCACCAACCTCCACAATCACTGGAATAATTCATAAAAATGAATAAAGATTTTAGTGTGAAAAATAGCCCATTGGCGAGAGAGCTTGGAAGATAATGTAGCAAACTCATTGATGTGGGACACTGGAGACCCATGTTTGGTCCTGGCATGGTATAGCTGTGGCAGACCACTTTGCCTCTTTGGGCTTTGGTTTCTCTTTGTAAAAATGAGAATAGATAGATGCTTATGAAAATCCTTTCCAGTCCAACCTATGTGATTTTGTCTTAGTGACAAAACAAGTTATATTAATTTTGACCAGTATTTAAGATATTGTTTTCTTGAGACAGCAGAGGGTTAGAAGGAGATTATGTGGTAATTTATAACATTGTCTTTGGAGTAAGACAACCTGGGTTTGAATATTGATCCCACTATTTATTAACTGTTATTATTGTGGCAAATTGCTAACCTCACTTTCCTCATCCATACAATGGGGATAATAAAGTACCTATTTCATTAAGGGTTATTGTGAGGAGTAAATAGACTAACATATGCGAAGTTCCCGAACAATGACTGGCACATGATAAGTGCTGTATATTGGGTTGATTTTATCATTGTAATAGTGCCACCATGGACGTACTTTGCTGCTCAATGGTTTCCAGGAGGGATGGGTGGTTTTGCTATTTAGGCAGAGAATTCCCTGAGACCCTTGGGGAGTAAGGCTAAGGATAGCATGGCAGGTGTGTTTATAATCCCATAAGGAGCAATAGCCAGTTATACTGCAGCTTGTCTATAAGCATTCACTCCCACATGGACTAACCATTCTTCTCACTGCTCTTTTCTTCTCACAAAGGAGGCAACCTCCTGGCAGATTTCAGGGTAGGAGTGTCAGAGTCCTCTCAACTTCCCCTGAAAAGTAAGCTAGATATGGCTCTGGTGTCCTGATGCAATGATGTCTGGTGATATGCACAGTGGCTAAGAATATAGGTTCTGTGTTTAAGCCTCAGCTTTGCTACTTAACTAACTGTGTTGCCTTGGGCAAGTTACTGAACTTCTCTGTGCCTCTGTTTCCCATCTCTACAACAGGAATAAGAATAATCTCTACTTCCTGGTGTTGCTATGATGATTAAATGGGATAATACACACAGCGTTCCAAGAAAGGTGTCTGGCATTTAGTATGTGTTTAGTAAATGGGAAATGTTACAATTACTATCATGATTATTGTATCAGTGAGGCGAATCTTGCTCTGTGGGTGATCAGTGACTTACTGGAAAAAAAAACAACAACAACACCACCACCAAGGACCACATAGTGATAAATTAATGAATTCTAATTACTGATTTTATATGTGGGGAAATATCCATGAGCTAACTCACTTAATTTGAAATTGATGACTTATGACCAGTGAAATTTTAAAAATGCCTGCCTAGCAATACAAGTAGAATGGAATCTCAGAGATGAAAAGAGCTCTAAACAGATGTCTAATCCATCCACCCCTCCTGTGCATATATCCCTCTGTCTCCCTCCCAGGTGTGTAGCTGGTTTTATACGCTAAAGGTGGGGTTTAATTTTGCCTCACTATGTCTCTGGATGTCTCCCCTATGTGATGGTTCACCCCATTCCAGAGTGCGGTGCCCAGCATGTTGAGACATGAGCAGGCAGCTCATTGTGATGGTTTTTTGTTGGAATGCATTGGATTATGAATGGGAAAATCTAGTCTCTTCTGACACTTAGCTTCTCAGGTCCTCCCATGGCACTGGTCACAGCTGATAGAATTGAGTGAACTGACAACAATGTGCTCCCATGTTCTTGGATTAGCTGCTACCCCCCTCCCCCCCGCCCCTGCAATAAAAGAGAGAAACATAAAATTTTAATGCCTGTGGGCAGGAAGTTGGGAGTCGGAGAATTTAGATCAAGAAAAGACCTGGGAAATGATCCAGATGTTAGGAATGACCCACAAATGAGGAAGCAGGGCCAGAGAGGTTAAGGGACTTGGCGACAGGGATTCTGCTAGTTAGTGTGAGTACGCAGAATAAGGATTACTTCCACCAGCTCTCTCTGGTTCTCCAGCATGGGGATCAGAAACGTGGCCTCGAGAGGCAGGCTGCCTTAATTCAAGTCTTGATTCTATCGTTTATTGGCAGTGTTATCTCAGCCAGCTGTAGACTTCTCCCTGCCTCAATTTTCTTACTTGGAAAAGAGGAATAATAATAGAGATTTTGTGTGGGTTAAATGAGATAATATGTGTAAGGCACTTAGGACAGTTGCTGGCACATAAAACATATTCAGAAAGTGCTTGTTATTATTACTAGTCTCCCAAAGAACCTCAAACATATCAACTCTTACATGAGCCAGAGAATAAGTGTTTTGACCAGACTGGTGTTTTAAAGTATTTTCTCTCACTTAAAATATGGCTTTTTAATGTCTGCTTAGCTTCTGATTCAGAAGTGATCTTAGGAGCCATCTGTGAATTAGCAGCCACATTCTTCCCCAGAATCATTGTGACTTTTGGATGGAAGGAGGAAATTTTCAAAAAATAATTTCTCATTATTTTTCATTTCCAAGTCACATTCAGAAAATATTTACAGAGTAGTCTGCCATGTGCCTGGCACAGAGATCAGGCCTGGAGGGATGCAGAGCTGGGCGGTCTGATGTACTCTTACCGTCATGTGTGCACAGATTAGGTGGAATGGTTGGCAATTACACAGGTAATTCTGCCACACTCCGGAGGGAGCACTGCCAGGGCAGGGCATAGAGAGACTTTACAGCACGTGGAAGGAGACTTAAACATGATTTAAGGGGTCAGGAAGGGCCTTCTGGAAGAACTGATGTCAATGCTGAGACCTGAATGTGAGCTAGATTCTTGACTAGTCTGGATGGGGCTGAGGAGTGTTCCAGGCACAGGGAACTGTGTGTATGTGGTGGGGAGAGTGCTTCAGGGTTGGGATAAAACCCTGGGTGTTCACCAACTTATTCAACACTTAACAAGTGCCTATTAAACACTCACTATGCAACAAGCATTGTTTTACAATAATGGGTACACATGGGTTAACAAAAAGGTGATGTTTTATTTTTATGGAAGTTATGGAAGAGAAGAGAGAAAGATGGAAAGTGCTATGAACTGCTTCAGGCAAGCTGTGGAAAGTGATTAGGGTAGAGTGACAGTGGAGCTGACATCTGAATGATGAGAGGAGCCAGGGTAGGGAGGGTTCCAGGCAGAAGAACAACAAAGGCAAAGAACTCTAAGGCGGGGATGATTTGGGCATGATGGAGAAACTGAGAGAGGACCTGTGTGCTGGGATGTGGGGAATGTGGGGGAAGCAGTATAAGTAATTCAAAGGGTATTTGGGTTGGGTTGTTGGTGTTGAGAAAAAGGCATCAGAACATTTCTAGTAGAAACAGGATCTCTCACACACACACACACACACACACACACACACACACACACACACACTATGGATGTCTCTTTCCAAAACCAGGAAGCTTTTGGCAAATCTCAGTTGGCTCTGGGTTTTAATAGCTGAGATGAAGCAAAGAGCTTTTCTGTCACGGTGACTAGATCTGCATGAGGCACGTGCACGGATAATGGTCCTCTTCCCAGTTATGAGAATGTGTCAGCACCATAACAAATAAGCAGGGCTGCCGGCTCAGCAAGAGGGCTCATTGTGTAGATTAGGGCTGTCCCCATGGTTCCTCCTGGGTTCTTGCCATGCACTTCTAATTACCCCCCATGAGCTGTCTCTTCCTGTTTATTCATTTGAACTCAAATGTGTGTTCCAACCATGCTTTAAATGCTTTCTGTCCAATTTGGGACTGCTTGGTCCAGACCAATTGCCCATGCTCTTCTGTTTCTCTATGATGGTCTATCTCTGTATTCTTTTTAAATTTTTTTTCTCTTTATTGATTAAGGTATTACATATGTGTCTTTATCCCCCCATTGCCCTTCCACCCTTCCCTCCCCCAACACACTCATGCCCTCACCCCCCTGGTGTCTGTGCCCATTGGTTAGACTTATATCTCTGTATTCTTGCGGGCCCTGCAGGAGACTGATGGCTCTTGTTTGCTCCCAGTGAACAGCTTTGGAAATGATGAAGAGCTGTGCACATCTTCTGACACTGACGAAGAGGTGATGAAGCAATTTGAGATTTCTGTGTCCCGGTCCCAGAGCTTCCGGTCAAGAGTGTCTGAGAAAGGCAAGCAGACAAGATCAGAGCAGAAACCAAAAGTCTGCCATTTGCTCTCTACCGGGGAAGAGGACAGAACCCAGGTGTCTGCCTGTGAAGGTATTCTTTGCATCCAACCCTTCCTCTATCTAGACCAGGGATGGCCAACAGGAAGAACATCTTTGATTCATGTAACTCTGCACTTGCTTCTGTGAGTCACTAGAGGGAGAGTAAGTGGGGCAGGAGCCAGGGGCTGGGACAGGGAAAGGGCTGCTCCACATTTCTCTGGGG